CTTGGAAATGGGAAGTGATTAACATGGATTTCATCATAGGCTTACCTCGTACCTAGCGTAAGTTCGATTCTATTTGGATTATTATTGATAGACTTACAAAATCATCCCAATTTCTGCCTGTCAGGACTATGTATTCAGTAGAGGATTATGCAAGGATTTACATTCAGGAGATAGGATGACTTCATGGTGTCCCTATATCTATTATCTTAGGTAGAGGTGCTCAGTTTACTGCTAATTTTTGGAGGTCCTTCCAAAAAGGATTGGGGACTCAGGTGAGTCTTAGTACAGCATTTCATCCCCAGACAGACGGTCAGGCTGGGTGTACTATTCAGACACTGGAAGATATGCTACGGGCTTGTGTGATGGACTTCAGGGCTAGCTGGGATGATCATCTTCCACTTATTGAGTTCGCATATAATAATAGTTATCATTCCAGCATTCAGATGGCTCCATACGAAGCTCTTTACGGATAAAAGTGTAGGTCACATATCGGATGGTTCGAAGTTGGGGAAACTAAGTTAGTAGAACCAGAGTTTGTACAACAGGAAGTTGAGAAGATTAAGCTTATGTGTGAAAGGCTATTAGCAGCTCAGAGTCGTCAAAAGTCATATGCAGATAATCGACGACGAGACTTGGAGTTTCAAGTAGATGACTGGGTATTCCTAAAGGTATCACCGATGAAAGGTGTTATGAGATTCGGTAAGAAAGGAAAGCTTAGCCCACGGTACATTGGACCTTATAAGATCATATGCAGAGTAGGCCAGGTAGCATATGAGTTAGACTTGCCTTCCAACTTGGAGTCAGTACATCCAGTTTTTCACATGTCTATGCTCCGTAAGTGTATTGGAGATATTTCTAAAGTTGTTCCAGTTGGCGATGTTTAGGTCACAGAGCATCTATCATATGAGGAAGCTCCCATTGCTATACTAGATAGACAAGTTCGGAGATTGAGATCTAAGGACGTAGCTTCAGTTAAAATACTTTGGAGGAATAATAATGTGGAGGAGATGACTTGGGAAGCTGAAGAAGACATGAAGTCTAGGTATCCTCACTTGTTTCCGCTTCCGGATGAGGATCGTACTGAGACATCACAGCCTTAGGTACGTATATGTTACTTGATTCTTATGTTAGTTAATGTCATTGGTCGTGTGAGACCATTGGTGTTATTGTTGATTGTGGCCTTGTATGGATTTGTATTGTTGGGTTTTCTGTCTGACAGGTTGATAGTGGCACCATTATAGAGAAGACTCTATCAAAAAATTTTATAAATATATGGGAGTTTAAAATTCGAGGACGAATGTTTCTAAGGGGGGAAGATTGTTACATCATGTGCGTCCCAAGACGACGTATAATGAATATGAAACTTGTTAATCATGATTTAAATGAGTTTAAAGTCATAATATAACTATATATGATGTTTGGATAAAACATATAAAGTTTGGGAAAAATCGGATTAATGTTGCGGAAAAACCAACTAAGGATTTGCCTTGTAACAGAGCTTTTTGAGAAATATATTTCGTGTGCTATATGAGGTCTTTTGGGACATATTAGATACCAAATTGAAGGTCTTGGAATATAGTTTCTAACGCTCTTAACCGTTCATTCATACGATATTCGAATAAAAAGATATAAGCGTCGAAAAATGGGCGAATCAGAGGGTGCCAAGCGCTACCTTTTGACTTTTCAAAAGTTGTTATATTGCTTTAACTCGTCTCTCTCTCTCTCTTTATCTTTACACATAATCTGACCAGAGAACTCCATAAAAAACGGTCCTTGAGTTCTCTAATAGTGCTTCAAATAATATTAACATCCCGGGTACGAAATCGAGAAGCGATAACATCAGAACGATCCCTACGACGTAAGTATCTCTATATCATCTCTCTTTTTCTTTGTAGTTTGAGTTTTGGAATGTATTTGATAGTTAATAAAAATTCCTAATTTATCTATTTAAGCTTTAAAATATCAAGAAAAGTTGATAAATTCGTTTCTTAATAGTTCGAGTTATTTGACTTTTAGTGGACTGTTTTGTGGGTTGTTTCGTGTTGCTTTGGGGCTGTCTATTGTTCTGCTGATTTATAGAGTTTGGAAGGATAAAAAGGGCGTGGAGAAACGCTACATGTGGTAGTGTAGTAGGTTGGTCGCTCGTCGTTGTAGCTACAGGCTAATTGATAACTTGTTGATTGAGTGTATTATGGTATATTTGGGGTTTTGTTGTATTGAAGGTACCGAATTGTAATTAGGTTGGTTTTGAGTTGCTGATTGTATTATATTTTTATCTCGCCTATAGTAGGCTTGAGGGAGCAGTAAAATCAGGGGAAATGCTGCCCGTTTTATTTTAGAATCGAGTTATCGTTTGAGATACGTAATATACTATTGCCATCTAAATTGTACACGCATTTCTTTGTTATAGGGTTGGCACGCTAGTTGTCATAAGCTTGTTGTTGAGTTGCATTGATGACTTGAGATATGTTAAGGCTATCTCTTCTTTCTTTTTGGCATGATCCAAATGATACAAATGAATCAAGCAAAATACACAACTTTCATAAATGACCCTATTCATAGAAATACTAGGGGTGTCTATATTCTTGATTCCCTATGTGAATTATTATTATATCCTCTATTCATGGGTCACAGAAAAATACGTATTTGATAAAGTTTGTCCGAAAGACATATTAATTTTATGATATTCGAGAAATCTTATTAACGTATTTCTTATGCATTTCATGCATTTATACATGTACATTGGCCCATGACTAGAAGGCGTTATATACGCGTATATTATATGTATATGGGATATGGGAAAAGGTTACAACGTTATATACGTACCACCACCTGAAACAGTTGGTATTTGTTGATGATTTTGCCCACAGTGGCCAAGATGATATGATGGGAAGCCCTCAGAGGCTTGATGATGTTATGTACACCTATAACTATGCATGATACGACATTTACATGCACATTCATGACATTATAAATATTTCAGGATTCACAAAGGTATTTAGACTCACAGGTGTAATTCTTTACCCCATGTTTCATCTATGTCTTTTATGTACTGATTTTCATGCTTTACATACTCAGTACATTATTCGTACTGACGTCCCTTTTTGCCTGGGGACGCTGTGTTTCATGCCTGCAGGTGCAGGTAGACAGGTTAATGGTACCCCTTCTTAGGATCCTTGATCAGCGAGAGTTGGTGTGCTCCATTTGATCCAGAGCTGCTTTGAGTTTTGGTACGATGTGTTTGCATACATATATGTGTACGACGGGGCCCAGTCCTGTCCTTTATACAGTTGTACACTCTAATAGAGGTCTGTAGACAGTCATGTATAGTTATATAGTATGTGGCCTTGTCGGCGCGCCCTACCGTATTCCGTATATATATATATATATGTATATATGTCTTTTGGGCATGTTTTCTCACATAGGTCGTTCATATGGATTAGTAGTTTATTTTCAAATGTTATGCATGGCCTACACTTATTTCATGTTTATATCTTAGACAAATACTTAGTAGTTCTCGATAGGTAGAACTAGGGTACTCGTCACGACCCATCGGTTTGGGTCATGACAAGAAGAAGGTTGTTTTCACATGCATCTGATGGATTTCAAGACCACACACGGCGGCTAACTCTATTAACACCCGAATAGATGTAATCCTTGTTACCGATGAGTATGTATCAAAATAATCAAGACCTTCTTGTTATCTAAACCCTTTGACAACTAATCTTGCCTTATATTTGTCAATAGTACCGTCACCTTTCATTTTCCTTTTGAAAATCCATTTAGAACCCAAAGGTTTGTTTCCTGGAGGAAGATCAACCAATATCCAAGTATGATTACTTAATATGGATTCTATCTCACTATTGACTGCCTCTTTCTAATATTGTGCTTTCGAGGAAGACATTGCTTCTTTAAATGTTTGAGGCTCATTTCCAACAAAAATGTCAGAAAGTCTGGTCCAAAGGAAGTAGGTTTCCTTTGACGTTTACTATGTCTTGGATTTTCCTCATTAAACGTACTTTCCTTTGCTTCTTCACGAGGTCACTTAGAAGTTTCACTAGATGACCTGCATTCATTTTTATGCGGATAAACATTCTCAAAGAATTCAGCATTATCGGATTCGATTACCGTAGGATTTTCTGATTTATGAACCAGAAAACGATATGCCTTACTATATCTTGCATATCCTATGAAAATGCAATCACCCGTTTTCGGTCCAATCTTCACCCTTTTGGGTTTAGGAACTTGTACTTTAGCCTAACACCCCCACACTTTAAAAAAATTTAAGTTGGATTTCCTACCTTCCCATTTTTCATATGGAATGGATTGCATTTTGCTATGGGGAACGTGATTGAGTATTTGATTAGCTGTAAGAATAGCTTCCCCCCACAAGTTTTGGGGTAAACACGAATTTAGCAACCAGGCATTCATCATCTCCTTTAAAGTTCTATTCTTTCTTTCCGCGATTTCATTAGATTGCGGTGAGTAAGGGGCAGTTGTTTGGTGAATAATGCCATATTCCAAACATATTTCTTCAAAAGGAGATTCATATTCGCCACCCCTATCACTTCTTATCATTTTGATCTTTTTGTTTAGTTGTGTTTCAACTTCATTTTTGTATTGCTTGAATGCCTCAATTGCTTCATCTTTACTATTAATTAAATAAATATAGCAATATCTAGTACTGTCGTCAATTAAAGTTATGAAATACTTTTTTTCACGGCGAGATGGTATTGACTTCATGTCGCAAATATCTATGTGAATTAAGTCTAAAGGATTTGAATTCCTTTCAACCGACTTATAAGGATGTTTAACATACTTAGATTCCACACATATTTGACATTTCAAATTATTGCATTCAAAATTAGGTAATACTTCCAAGTTAATAATTTTTCGTATAGTTTTGAAGTTGACGTGACCTAAACGTGCATGCCATAAATTATTTGACTCAAGTAAGTAAGAAGAAGCTTGAACTTTATTGATATCAATAGCTATTACATTCAACTTGAAAAGACCCTCAGTTAGGTAACATTTTCCTACATACACATCATTCTTACTTATTACAAATATTTTAGAAACAAACACATATTTAATCCATTCTTGATAAGAAGTCCAGTAGAGACCAAATTCTTGCGAATTTCAGGAACATGTAGAACATTGTTTAAAGACACAACTTTGCCCGAAGTCATCTACAAAGCTATCTTCCCAACTCCTTCAATTTTTGTTGTTGCAGAGTTTTCCATAAAGATAGTCTCATCGGGCCTTGCAGGAACATAAGAGGCAAATAACTCTTTGTTAGCACAAACATGGCGAGTAGCTCTAGAATCAATCCACCACTCCTTGGGATTTCCTACCAAGCTGCATTCAGATAACATGGCACATAAGTCCTCAATTTCATTATTCTTTTCAACCATGTTTGCTTGACTCTTCTTCTTGTCCTTCTTCGGTGCACGACAATCCACAACTTTATGTCCAACCTTTCCACGGTTGTGGCAATTACCTTTGAACTTCTTATTTCTCGGGTGTTTCTTTGGACCAGACGGCTTCTTCCTCTTTTTGTTGCTTGTAGATACTTCCTCAACAATATTTGCTCCTATTATTGTTGAGTTACCACGGGATTTCTTTTCAGCAACATTGTTGTCCTCTTCAATCTGCAGACGAACAATAAGGTCTTCAAGCGTCATCTTCTTGCACTTATATTTTAAGTAATTCTTAAAGTCCTTCCACATCGGAGGCAGCTTTTCAATAAATGCCGCAACTTCAAACGCTTCATTTATGACCATACCTTCAGTTATAAATTTATAATTAGTAAAATAATCAATATCTTGAATAAAAATATTGACTCGGTTTATACCTTCAGCAAGGAGATCATGAACAATAACTTGCAATTCTTGGACTTATGTTATGACAGATTTGTCGTCAACCATTTTGAAATCCAGAAATTGTGCGGCCACAAACTTCTTAAGTTCAGCATCTTCAATATTGTACGTCTTTTCAAGAGCATTCCACAACTCTCTTGATGTTTTCATGAAGCTATAAACATTGTACAAGCCGTCTTCCAAGCAACTTAAAATATAGTTTTTGCATAAGAAGTCAGAATGCTTCCATGCCTTTGTGACCACAAATCGTTTATTTTTGGGAGTTTCTTCTCCTAAAACTGGAACATCCTCGCTGATAAAGCGCTGCAAGCTGAGTGTGGTCAGGTAGAAGAACATTTTCTGCTGTCAGTGCTTGAAGTCCACTCCGACAAACTTTCTGGGCTTTTTTGCCGGTGTCATCATAGGTGCAGGCGTTGTGCGACTTGAAGATGCAACCATTGTAACATTATGTTGGTCCGTACTTGTTGTCATTTTTCTGTAAAAGAAATTGACACAACCAGAATTAGTAAGTCGATGAAGGTTTTATATCTTCAAACCTAATACAAACAATCAAGTAGAAAATTACAAGAATTTTAATCTCGGATTGAGTAGAAAGCCACAAAGACTTTAATCTCACGGGAGTAAAAAATTTGAAGATTTTAATCTCCAAAACAGAAGTAGAAAATCACTAGGATTTTAGTCTCCCAAAGCAGAAAGTAAGATGAATACAAAATATATAAAAAAATTAAATTTCTTAAGCTTATTAGTATTTGTATTCGAAAATATAATTTCTGCAAAATAAAACAAAAGCAGAAATAAAAGACAGAAATAAAATTAAATGAAGAACGTTCCGAGCCCAACAGAAAACTGTATTTCCTTAAGGAATTTAATCCCCTCACTGTTGCCCAAGGTTGTTGCATTAATTCCTCCCAGGATAGAACGGAACAACTATTGTGTAATACTGGCAATGGAAATTACAGAACCTCGTCGAACTCAACAAACGACAGTAAATCACACTAATACTTACATTTTGCTTTTAAAAGATAGTGCAGAAATAAAGAAGAGAGGAGAGAGTATGCAAATTTTTGGTAGTTTGAAAGTGAGACCAAACCTCTGAATTTATAACTAAAAAGTCTGGGTTGAATAGGTGCGAAAGTACCTGTTCACATGAGGTACTGTTTCGGCAGAAAACCTTTCTATTTGGTCGCGAATTTTAATTTCAAAAACGATCATTAGGCGTTAGGAAATTATCCGCGAAAATATATCAGGAAAAAAAAATAATGAAAAATGAGAAATAAATTTTGTCCAAAAAATTATCAATCATGAAGCCGAAGCCGAGCAGAGCGATAATGACGGCGTGAGTCACCACTTCTTCTCAACTCTTTAAGAGCTACAAGATGTGCTTCTCTATATAAGTACAAAGATTTTCTTCCCTTATCCGATGAAGGACAAATTGCATTAATAAAGGAAACAATTTCAAACTTTTCGTTTCCCTCCAAATCTTTTCCCTCCATTTTCTTATTATATAAAACCCAACAGATACTTCAGAATTTAATGGTATAAATAAGAAGTAGCAGGTGCACTACCCAATATAAGGAAGGTCTCATCAGCAGATCCAAGAAGAATGCTTGTGTAACAAATGATGAAAGCGTAGTTTTTGCGTATTTTTTACTGTTGTACCAGCCCTTTCTGTTACAGCAACCAAAAGTCAATTGACGCACGACCCGCTCTTTGCCTTAGTTTTTTGGTTTTCAATCTCAAGCCATTAAATATATTAGGGAAAAATACTACTCGGGCCTTTAAAATTTTTTGTATCAGTCGTATTATGCAAACGTTAATTAATCGTAAGATATACTATTACAAAAAATATTTAACCATCAACGAATTTTAACCCAGATGATCAATCGATGCTTATTAAGAGACTAGCCTGTAACTACTTAATTAATGACAAGATTTTGAAATATTTTTGGTGCATAAAACTTAGTTCCAACTCAAACTGGTAAATTTCTCCCATCTCAAAGGTGTGTTATTTTCCACCTAACAGGAGGCACCTGAACTTTATGTTTGGTTGAAGCTTAGTTGCAAGCACAACATCTGTCTCTTAGTATTTTTTGGACAACCTTTAATCAGAAAAAGAAAATTTACTATCAAACCTTAAAGAGAATCTCTATTCTAAAAGGCAAAAAGGTATTCAACACATACATGCTTAGAGAAAACATCCTATACCAAATCATATGTATGCCATGTTCGCCTACCCTCACCTTTTCACCTCTCTAGTGTTAGATCTATATTTATTTTAATGATGCAAAATAATATATATTTTATGTGCAAAAACACTCCTGAAGCAAAGTACATCAATCAAGGATTTGGTAAAAGATTATGAAGACACTCCTAAAGCAATGGAAAGGAAACATCGAAGATTTGAGACAAAAAAGGAAGGAGTGGCGGAAGTTCAAAGGAAAAATCAATCAAGGATTTGGTAGAAGATTAAGGGAAGATATTATAGGAAGGACCTTAATCAAAGGAATTCAAGATCGCAAAACTATGCACTGAAGATTCCTCTATCAAAGGAGAACAATTAAAAGCCGGAATCAAGGGTTCTGATTTGATTCAAATAACGTGAATATCTGCTCAGAAAAGGAAAAATCCAATCAAGACCACTAAGTCAAGGCAAATCAGCAAGAGTAATATCTTATTTTTGGAAAGAATCACTTTATTATTCCTTTCTGGGATCAACTCCCTTGGGTTTGCAATCTCTCAAGATAAGTCAAGAAGACCTCACAGAGTATGTATATATATATATATATATATATATATATATATATATATATATATATATATATATATATATATGTACCAGCTTTGAAGACACATACTTTGATCATACCAATTTCATACTTTTTGTTCTACTCTAAACAAGCATTGTAATCTTAGCAAAGTTCACTGTGTAATCAGTAGAGAGAAGAAAGAGAGAAAAATATTGGTGATGCATTGTATCACGAGCGTACTTAGATTCAGAAGTAAGTTGGTGTTCGAGATAACATCAACACAATTGTACGAAACTTTCAAGGAGCTTTGAAGAGAGAATACCCTTACAACCCAAGGGGACTGGAGTAAGATTCACATTAAATCCGAACCAGTATAAAAATTTGGGTGTCTTTAATTTCTGTATTTTACTTCTGCTTTCATTTATATTCTGTCTTTATTTTCAGTCGACTAATTAGTAAATTAGTCAACTACTTAAGATACAAAAAGAAAAATCGACAATTCACCCACCCTTCTTGTACTTTGATCTGGGGCTTGGTACTATGAGAAATGAGCATTCATGAACTGCAAGCATTTTACTAGTTTGGTAATTCTGAATTCTAACTTGTGCAATTAAAATCAATCGATCTATTAATTCCATTATTTAACCCGAGGAAATACTATATAACCAGTGTACTATTCCTCAATCACCAGGCCAAAAGAGTGTAGAATACTGGACCTCTTCTTCAACAACTTTACTCCATGCTCATTTTAAAGGTTAATGTGCTATACTTCATGTGTCTTTTTCCGGGGGCTAGAAAGAGCACATGCGAGTTAGTTTTCGTGCATAATGCCTTCACCAATGAAACCCAAATTACCAAAAGAAAAAATAGAGATGGAAGTAGTAATAATTTGGCCAAGTGCGCAGTGTACTTCGTTCTGCATGGAGAGGGTCCAGAATAGTCAAAGCCCACATGGGATAGGATAACCTTTCCATTAAACACGTGTCCGTAACTTACACGGCAAGGCCTACTGCTGCGTTTTCTGTACTGTAAGATATCAGTGCCTCCAGCGAATATTCTAGTGCTCCTCTTTGGACGTCAGTAATTAGTCCCATGTATTCTCACTACCAGAGAATGTACATTCGAACAGAATCACCAAAAATCATAGACGAAATATTTCAGTGTCTTATTGGCGAACCAATGTCTACAACGGCCTATTTACCGAAGAGCACAATTGCATTGCTCAAATACAAAATTCACCCAATTATATTGTGAGAGTGAATACATTAGGTATTTTGTGATGATTTAATAAAAAAGAGCCTTTCTTCTCATTTATCAGTTGTAAATTTTGAGTTCAGCTTCAGCGTGCACAACTTCTAGATGCAACTAATTTTAATTAACACAAAGGGAGACCGGTTTGCTCCCATACGTGGAAAGAAAGAAGAGAACTAACTGTACATATCCAAACTTAAACCATAAATAAAAGAAAAAAGGAGAAAAAGAGAGAATTATTTTAGAAGCACGAATACTTAAAATATACTAGGAAATACTAGAATCAGTGCGCTACCAGGAAATTAGATTGAGAAGCTCGTACGTGGTCTTAGCTTGTAAAATCGTGTTGTTAATCTTGCTAATCTCCATTCATCTTCATGGTTTTATAGTCGATCGGACCCACTCGTAGTGACCTTCCAATGGCTTCTCCTTCACAAAGTCAAAGTTGTACCTGAGCCAGCACGCAAATTTTATAAGAATGTGTTATACAATGAAGAAATTAATAGGAAGGAAAAAAAACAAACTTCATAATTAGAATGTGTTAACGCGAATGTCAGAAAAAGAGAGAGAGAGGGAGAGAGAGAGAGAGAGAGAGAGAGAGAGAGAAATGTACTTTTTGGTAAATCGTTTAAGGATATCTTTCTCGGCTGCAGCAAAGAATTCTTCAAGGTCAGTCTCCGAGGGCATTTTTTCCTCCGTTAGTCGGCGGCGAGAATTGGCATGGTGTGGTCTCGTCGGTGACTCTATTTGGCGTAGTTCAGCTTTAACACTACTGCAGAGAGACGTTTTGTAAACGAAGGGTGGAATTGAAGGCTTCATAGAGAGAGAGATTTGAAACGGCAGAAAGGAACTAAGCGGCTGCTGAAGTGAAGAGACGGGGAGAGGAAATATATATAAGCATGAAAATATAAAGAGACGCATATTTACCTTTCTTTACTCTTCGGCGTTGCAATCTCCACTGTCTCCTCCTGTAAATTCAAAATTTCAAAATTCAAATATTCAGACCGTCGGCAATTTCACCCCCTAAAAAACAATAAAAATAAAAGCTATGAACATCACTAATTCAACAGAATTTATAGTGCGATAAGACAATTCAATACACTTTAAATGCAGCAAGTTGATACGATTAAAATTGACTGAATCATATATATACGAGTGAAACAATAGAATAAAAACTGGGAAGTAAAATTCGAAGACTTTTGCACATACTTCCAGATCTAGGGATTTCGAGCTTTCATAACTTGCACAGCAAGATGCTAATAAAGCGTCATCAAAGTTAGAGCTAAGAGCAGCGTGAGAACTGAGCTCGCTCGTCGGAGTAACTAAACTCTCCTGTGCAACTGAAATATGTTCAGAGTGACTTCTAACACAAGCTACAGTTGATGAGATCTCTAAATCACCATCACACATCTTCCTCTTCTTTGAACGGCCGGCAACCTCTGAAACCTCCCCTTCAGCTGATGCTGTCATCTTCACTGCTACCTCTTCCACCTGGCCAACCGTCATTTCTCCAATTCCCTTCGACTTGCTCTTATATCTTCTCATCGATGTTTCAATTATATCTCTCCAATTACGATCCTTCTTTAATTTCCCGCTATTACTTTCGCAATAATTTTGATAGTAGTATTAATTTCTCTCTTCATTGGAGTACTCAAATTCTATGCAATCTAGAATTTTTTTTCTCTCCCAATTAACGCTTATGTCTTTTTTAAATTCTCTCTTCGTCGGACACGGATTCTTCTTTGCTATAAACTACTGGAATTACAGAATTTTTGGACACCAGAATCGTACGATCTGAAATGAGGATATCTTCTTTTGCAGCAGCAGAAGCAGCAGCACTTTGTTTCAGTGTGGGGGGAGAGAAGAAGTGTTGAGAGACGGTGATGGTGATAATGATGATAATGATAGGCCAATTCCATTGAATGATTCGATTGGGTTCGTGTATTATTGGTCGCTTAGTCATGTGGTCCATACTTCTAATGTGACGGGGGATCTTTTTCCTGCCGTAACGGCATTCTGACGTCCGTTAGGGAGCTCGAATAAACAGGACTGAAGTCATAACGTTCCTTCTCTCAAAACTGTTAAGAGAAATTTGCCGGAACATGGATAATACTTTCAAAGGCATATTTGGATTAACAGATACGGTTACAAATGGGATGGACAAGAGGAGCAAGATTACAATTTCCCCCAAGTCACATTTATTTCTAGTTTTACTTTCAGACTTTTAACCAAAAAAAAACATTAAATAATTTTAAGTTGGAAGAATGAAGATACTCCTTCTCCAATCTTAATTTTTATGTTATTAAAACCATATATGAAGGTTTTGCTTTTATAAGTTAAATGAAATATATAGTTGAGGATCAGTGTTTTAATATTGTCAGTATTTTGTTGAAGCACGACCAACAAGTTAAATGTTGATGACCCATGTATACCACTTGAGCATGTGGAGTTTAATAATTTTCTCTTATGTGGGGCCTGAAACATGACTATTTTACCGTTAAATTTAATACTTGTTAGCCAAATAAAATTAAAATAAATTGTAATTACTCTCTTCGTTCACTTTTACTTGACACGTTTTAACTTTTCATGTCTCTTAAGAAATAATAAATGAAGTGCATAATTTACCATGATACCTATATTAATTGATGCATATTTTATTGGATTTGAGAAAATGATTTGAAATGAGTAATAAATATTATGGGTATAACATGAAAAAATTTTTGTCTTCTCTTGATATACGTAAAGTAAAATGACAAATAAAAATAAAAATCTATTTTTAGTATAATTGTCAAGTAAAAGTGAACGGGAAGGAGACAGTAACTCTCTTAACGTTTTGGGTTGATAGTGGAGAACACACACCCCCGTCTCTTTGGATTAACGGTAGTAGTAGTAGTAGGGAATACCATTGAAAGTAAACAGGTGAATAATAATTGTCACAGAATATTGGAAATATCAAAAGTACTCACTATTTATTATATGACGCCAAACTTGTTTGTGCGTTGACGAAATTTTTGGGAGTAAAATTAAAGCAAGGTATAAGACAGAGAAAAACATGAATAGTTTCCTTTCAAAAATTAAATAAATTCTTAATGTAGTTCGGGCAGAACTGCAGATATTGAAACTTATATCTTATTCTGTCCTTTCACTTCCCTTGAGCTTCAATAACTTATAACCTAGATACTTTTTCTATAACTTGAGTTATGAGTCTAAATTTTATACCTTTAGGTCAAATAGATTTTACTCCCTTCGGCCCATAGAAATGGTTTTCTAGCCTTTTTAATTTGATCTGAAATAAGTGGTTTTTATAAATAAATAAACTATAATATATTAATTATTTTCTTCCAAAATTATCCTTGTCAAATAAATGATTGAACAAGTTTCTAAGAAGTATTTCAACACCTCTTTGCAATTTTCAATTCATAGGTTAAAGGAGAGAAAAAGAATCTCTTAGTCAAATAACCTTCTTATTAATGTTATTAAGTGACTCTCTTAATGGGTGGTATATGCCAGTGTCATGATCCAAATCGGAGGGACGCGACGAGCACCCAGTACCTTACTCAACCGAGTACCCACATAACGTATCTTTCTTATCATACCATCATGCGTAAATGGGCCGGAAAGGTAGTCATGAGATAACCAGAATAAAACATAAGGGAATACTCGACATAGGACGACCCAACATAATAAACAAACTTATACATGTGACATACGGGCCTATAAGGCCGACATAATAATTTGTACACTCAAACATAGGCCGACAAGACCTTACAAGTATCCATATACATGACATCTGTCTACAAGCCTCTAAGAGTACATAAACGTCATAAGGGTAGGGAAAAGGCTCCGACATACCAATCAATTCATGTCCAAAGAATATTGACCAAATAGATAACTCCGGAGCAAGTGGAGTGCACCGACACCTTATGCTGAGCTGATAGCCTACTAAAAGGACCGTCAACCTGTCTATGGGGATCTGCGGGCATAAAACGCAACGTCCCCATGCAAAAGGGTCGTCCGTACGAATAAAGTACCGAGTATGTAAGACTGAAAACATAAGTAAGAACAGTAATATAAAAAGAGATAGAGAAGATACAACCTGTAACATCTGAGTACCTTTGAGGGATACTGACATGAAATGCATGACACATATATATATACATAAGCTTTTTAAAATATTCGCCTTTGTGGTCATCATCATACTTTTAGCAAAGGGTCTATCGGAAACAGTCTCTCTGCCCTTCCAAGGTAGGGGTAAGGCTGCGTACATCCTACTCTCCACAGACCCCACTTGTGGGATTATACTGGGTGGTTGTTATTGTTGTGGTTATCATCATCATCATATCGTACCCGACTGAAAAAGGTTCAGAAAAAACGTACCCGACCATTATCAGGCTAGGCAGAATCGTACTCGGCCACGTGGAACTCGGTAAAATCCAACTGATCAGTGGTTGTACAGTAGGTGTCGTTTTCGACCGACTATAGCGCGGCTCGGTAGAGTAGCTTATTACAGCACAAACCACAAAAAAGGAATTGAATAGATACATATATATAATGCATTCTAGACTCATGAAATCATGTTCTAAACCTTTCGAAGTGACGTGGGGCTGTTACACCTTCGATTAACGTTATGGACATTCATACCATCAATATGGACCTCAATAGGATTCAAGGATCATACATACATGCTTAGAATAACTTGATAAGAAAGGAACAACATGGACAACCTTAGTTGCTAGGAGTAGATTCGTTATGAAATAGCGTATCGTTTACATTCATTTCACTTTAGATCATGCCAAAAGAAAGAAGGAAGTATCTTAACATACCTGTATGATCTCTTCCTTATTCCTCAACCAAGCTCAACATAAATTCTTGCGTCTATACAAGTGAAATGATATTGTCTTCAATATATAATGTCATACCATCGTATTTGGCTAATCATATAGCTTACGAAAAATTGGACAGCAACTCCCCTATTTTTACTACATCCTAAAGACCACTAAGGGTCATCAATAGCCCAACAACAACAACAATCACCAACAATAGCAATAACAACAATATAATCCAATATGAGATTCTCTGATTACCTTAACAATCATATTGAGCGGCAAGCTCGTTTTTACTAATAACAAAATATAAATTGAATCCAACTCTTATTCCATAAATTAGTTTACAACCTTCAGAATATCATACTTATATGTACTATATTATTCCTAGTTCAAAACATCCACAAAATACCTTCCAAAACAGCATCATACGCCCAGCACCTTAACTTTTATCGCCAATCACTTGTTTTTCATCTTTTCTTCTTTAATAAACTTAATTAAAACCTACAAAAGCTTAATAACAGCAGCCACAACATTATCAAATTATTTCTCATAATTTTCAGCCACCCCAAATTATATATTTAGCCACAAAAGTATCCTACCAAAAAGATAACCATATCCCATGTTCTTTCAAGTGCTATCTTATGGTTTTTCACTCATACAATACAATCAACACAAGATTAACCTTAGGAACAATCAAGAAAATACTATACATACCTTGGAAAGAAGCTACAACTCGAAACCCCATCTCAACTTAGCTCACAGTAGCCCTCAATCACACCACAACATCATAGAAGTATTCTCTTGTAGTCTTTAATACTTTTGATGATTATTTGAGTTGATTCCCCTTGAGTTTGGTTCTTGGGATCTTGGGATATGTTAGAGAGAGTTTTGTAGAGCCCTTGAACAAATTTTGGGTGAGAAATGACCCAAAATGAGACTGAAACATCTTTTAAAAGAAGTAAGGTCGGTGGCCGTCTCAAGTGGGTCCCAACAGGAGCTTCTTGTACAATTTAGCAAAAATATGAATATCTCTCTACTTCTACGTTGTATTGATGAACGGTTTAATACATTGGAAACTAGACTCGTAGATCTTCAATTTGGTGGGCAGATCACCCCGTAATTCCAAGTACATTGAGAGAAAAGCTCAGTAACATCGGACCTAAATTTCATGAAAATATATGAACGTAACTTGTGACGAGTTTTGTTTCACAACTCGCTTGACTTCAAAATTTTACACACGACTCTCATACGACTAAATTACCTCATAACATTACTTTCTTATCATCATAATCACCCTAGTATCATGTCACAAACACAGGTTATAATACTCCCAACTTGCCGGCTTTCGACGAAACTTATTTTCTTCGATTCGATTAGCGTCTTAACCTTCCAACCCTCACAATACTTCCTTAAAACCTGTCTTAACCAATCATTATCTTTGTAAAGTTCTTTCATCTCTTCTCCGTCTCATATTGATTCACTTAAGATGAATTCTAACATGGAAGTACGGGGTGTAACATCCTTCCCCCATTTGGAACATTCATCCTCGAATGTAAAGGACTCTTAGAGGAGAAGCTAGCCCTTACAGATTTTGCAAAAATTTTGATAGAGTGTCCTCTGCAAAAAGGACTATCCCATACCTTGTGTCCAAATAATTCTTCTCCTGAAAATGTTGTAACTCTTCAATTCTGAATATCGATTAATCATAAAATGAGTGTTAATCAAAATCACATGTCATGGGTTATGAAGACACATGACCAAGCTATAGTCGTCAAGAATCTTCTATCTGAAGCAACTGAGGGTACTTAGAATTCATCTCTTCTCCGGTTTCCCACGTCTTACCTTCAACATTCATATTCCTCCATGATATCATTATGGAAGTCACTTTCTTGGTCCCCAACTTGTTAACCTGCCATCTAAAATTAAAACTAGAACCTCTTCGTAAGACATGTTCTCTGTAATCTGAACATCATGTGCTTCTGCAACATAGATTCCTGATTCATTAATAGCAACTGGAATCTTCTCCTAAGATTGACCCTCTACTATGTGTATATCATTTAATGTATTTCTTCAATATTGGAACAACATAAT